AGTTTCGCGTGGAAACGTATGATCGCACCTGCAAGCCTGGTGTGTCACAGTCCTAGGTAATCTGACATCGCTGCCGTTCCTATTGTCAGTATCGCACAAATCAGTCCCATTTCCCGCTCCCTTTCGCCTTCACTTGCGTTTAAATCATCCACAATAACCGTGTTCGTTAAAACAAGTGTCAATTCGAAATCTGCATCGATCCGTTCAATCTCACTATCATTTCTGGCCATGGTGAAACAGTGTAATTAGGGTAACATTATGGGTTTTATCGAATTTAGTTTGCCGAGTACGCCGATTTGTGACGAGTGAAAATGAGAAGAGTGGTTTATGAAGTCCTCTTCCTGCTGGTGAGAAGCGCTATTTCGCCAACATTTCTTTGTCTTAGTTCAGCACCAAGCAAAATAGTTTTTCTATCCTTTCTGTTCACGATTTGCACGGTCTCTCTCTGGGCAAAACCCTTGTTGAAGACACTGCATGAAGTTCTCTCGATTACCTAGAAGGGATGGCTCATGTGCTTATTCCTTAGTACTAACCTAAACTTGCAGATGTATGTCCAGATTGTTTCGAGAGGGGAACTTTTGAACCATCGGAGATTTCTAGCAGCTCCCTGCCCTCCGGTTGACGATGCCCCGCTGTAAACCGAGCTAGAGAGCAGAGGCCTTGTCTTTAACTAAACAAAAACAAATGCGAACTTCTAAGTACATGCTCACGATTGCTTCATTTCTATTTATTGTGGAGCACAGCGCTGTTGCGCATGAAACGAAAACGAACTGCAACATCACCTTCTGAATCACTTTCGTGCTGGCTGCGGCTGGAAGTAGCCGTTTGCTCTGTTTATTTACGCTCACTGGGGCTGGAAAAGTTGCTTAACTTGTTAAGCACTGACAGAAGTTGCTAATATCAAGGAGTTGTCGCCTAATCACTTTTTTGCTCGTTTTGCTCTCGTCGCTTCTTTTCCTTTTGAAAGTTCATGACTTGAATGTAAACTCTCGAGAGAAGTTGCGACTATTAAACGGACAGAAAATGATTTCTTGTGCACATTTTTCACAATTTTTTTGTTAAAGCCAATATTTAGAAAAAGTTTAAAAAATTATAGAAAAATGCGCCCCCAAAAGATGTTTTCATCATTTTCTTCTACGGTGCGATGCTGCGGATTCGAATCAAAAAGATATGCGATTGGTAAGTTCCACTTGCAACAGCTTAGGTTTTTTAAGCAGCTCATAATCATTAGGAACAAAAGCGTTCGTTGTTAGCTCTCAGTGCTGTCGAGGTGCAGCCGTGTTTTCAACAAGCCGCATCTAATATCTAATATAATAGGTGCCAAATTACCGGTAGACAACTTTTCGATCGCCATAAAATACAATT